GTCAACAATGTATTATACACTTAAAAATTTAAGAGGGTAGATCTTATGTTAAGTGTTCTTACCACATAAAATAAAATTTCAATGTTGTAAAGCATTTCTTTGTGCATACCTCATTGTGCAGATACATAAGTCTTTCTCAGGGGTAAATAATAATAAGTGAACTATATGACTTATAAGGTATATGCCTTTTTAAATTAAATTATCTTCTAATTTATATACCCAGTGGCAGAGTATGGGAGTATCCATTTCCCCACATTATTGCCAAATTTCATATTATCACACAAAATTTTTGCCAATCTGGTGAATAAAACTGGTATTCAATGAGTGCTTTAATGTGTGTCTTTCTGATCACTAGTGAGGTTGAGTACTTTTAGATGTTTACTCTCATTTTATTTTCTCCTCTGTTAAATGCTTTTAATTTACTTCACCCATTTTTGTAGTGCTTTTAAAAAAATGATTTCTAGAGATTATTCATACCACAAATTATTTTGTCATAAAATTTCAAATATTTACCTTAGCCTGTTGCTTGTCTAAGTTTATGATGTCTTTTGTCACAAAGACATTTTGAATTTTGATGGAAAAATTTATCATTCTTTAATTTACGAATTTTGCTTTCTATGTCTTATTTATGCGGGCCTTCCTTACCTTTAGCTCATAGCAAATTACCCTATATTTTCTTGAAATGCTTTTATAGTTCTGTTTTTACATCTTGGACTCTTTATTTTTTGTGTGAGGTATGGGTATGCTTTTATTTCTTTTTGAAAACAAATAAACTGTTTCACTGACTTTAAATGCCCCTTTTATCATAGAGTACGTTCCGATTTATAGTTGAGTCTTTTCTGAGTTACCAGTTCTCTACACTGTTCTGTTTGTGTGCCAGTCCCATACTCAGAGAGGCCTTTCCTGACCGCCTTACCTAAAATAGCCCTCATTCACTCTCTATCACGTTATTCCATTTTATTTTCTTCATGGCACATATACCTCTTTAGATTTCTTCTCTATTTACTTGTTTGCTTGTTATAAGCTCCTTCTCTGCCTTTCTTAGCACCTAGAATAGCACCTAATCAACACTTAGAAAATAGTTGCTAAAAGAATGAATGAAAGAATACCCCAGACCAGGGGTATTTACATTTTGAGTTTTATTTTTAAGGCTTAAATAAACTGTTTGTCAAAGGAATTTGTACTATTAACCAAAGAAGTGGCTAGAGAAGGACCTTTTCAGCTCCGTGAAATTCTTCCATGTATGTTTATGGGTTCTGTTCACATGCTACATTGCTTAAATATTGAACCCTTGGAAGGACTCATTCAAAGGGGCAGAAAAGAGTGATGTCTGCTTATAAAAGCTTTGGGGATACTGCCTTTTAGGGTATGGAGTTTAGAGTGGGCAGATGCAATCACTGAATATGTGGCTCAAGGCAATCATTAATTCATTCTGCAAATATTTATGCAGCACTCTGGTAGGTGTTGAGAATGCAATGACGAGTAAAATAAACGTGGAGCTTTTTCCCCATTATGAGGGAACAGACACTAATTAGATGATACAGCAATGAATGTATAATTAGAAACTATGACCATTTCTATGTAGAAAAGTTATAAGATGCTTTTAGTGCATGTAACAATCAAGAGGGCCGGAGAATATTTCACTGAGGAAGTGACCTTTGAATGGAGATTTGATCTAGACAAAGAGAGCATGAAACTTTTTGGCAGAGGTCCTAAGGCAGAAGAAAATGGAAGAAAAAAGTGAAAGAAGCCCCAAATGTGACTGAAGTGGAAAGATGGAGCAGCAGTGTAGCTCTGATAAGGTAGGCAGAGGCCAGATCAAAGGAGAGTGTAGTATGACAAACACAAACAAAACAAACAACAAAAAAATCCTATGTGGATTTTGGAGTAATACAAACCCTGGGTTCACATATGAGTTTTGGCACCAATCAACTGTGTAACCAGATCAGTTTTAACCTCTTCCTCCTTGGTGACCTTATTGATGAAAAGAAACCTCGTTGGGTTACTGTGAATGTTACATGAGATAGCCCTTGGCACATGTTAGACATTCACGGTATAGTTATAGTACTTCCAGGTTTGTTAATGGTTCTTCTGTGTTTGTTAGCTGCTGGTCACCCTAATTTTAAGCAAACAAAGCAGAAATAATCACTGGTTTTGGAGATTCACAGCCTGAAACCAAGTCACAGTTTCTAAAAGGAAATTCAGTCAACAACTTTTGAGCACTTAGTGAGTTCTTCTTAGCTCAGTTCAAAACCATTTGTGAGCACCTACTTCGTACAAGATATAAAGTATTACTTTGGAGATAAAGAATGAGCCATTTTGAAGCTAACGATTAAATGGATAATTTTATAACAATGTTATTGAGGATCTAATAGAGGTAGATTCAGTGTGTGTTTTGGTGAAGGGAATGAGGTGTAGAAGATGTTCCCTGTAGAAGGAACCACTAGGGAAGCTTATGGAGGGGAGAAAGTTATGGCTAGTAACCATGGGGAAGGTGCCACGAGAGAGAGAGAACTGTAGGATTCTTCTAACAAAGGCTGCTGGGAAATGCTGGTTAGCCCTGGCAATACTTACAAGGCTGAATGGCTGCTCACCAGGAGCTTGGGTCTTTGTGGAAGGACATCCTGGATCATGATCATGGGCTAGTTCTCGACTACAGCCAAGATCAATGTCTCCAACATCTGCCTGTGTGTTTCCTTTTCTGGGCATGTTTGCTTGGGGACTCATTTATGGAAACACAGTGTTCTCGCTGCTGGCAGTGACTAGGCACACTGAGACACATATTTTATCCCATCTAAATCAATGCCATGAAACGATGCTCATCACCCTTTTGTGGTCTGTGGATCACCAACCCCTGTCCCCCACCATGGGGCCGCTTTAGTCTTTTGTATTTTATTGGTTTTGGCTCCATCCTCTTCAAGCAGAACCATCTGAATATCTGATATATATATATATATATATATATATTTTTTTTTTTACCACTTTGGGGAGTCAGAGTTCTACTGCCTAGAGAATATCATAGTTCTGCTTCCTCAAAAAAGTGTCTTTGCTATGTTATCCTGTTATTTACTCCATCCTCATTATTGCCCATTAAAATCTTACCCATCCTTCAAGAACTTGATCAGACGCTGATTTCTGCATGAAGCCTTTTCTGATCACCCCAACTTAAAGGGATTTCATCTCCTTTACAATTTTGTATTACAGATTATTTTTAATAGTGGATCCAATGTTTGGTTGATTATTAGTGTTACCTGGAAGAAACTGTCTCTTTTTTAATAATTTTTTTATTTCAGAACAGTTTTATATTTACATAAGTATTGCAAAGATAGTACATAGAATTCCTGTTTACCCCACACTCAGTTTCCCCTATTATTAACACCTTACATTAGTATAGTACATTTGTCACAGTTAATGAATCAATATTGATACATTATTATTAACTGAAGTCTACATTTTATTCATATTTCCTCAGTTTTCCCCTAATGTCCTTTTTCTCTTCCAGAATCCCATCCAGGATATCATGTTACATTTTGTCATCATGTCTCCTCAAGCTCACTTAGCTGTGATGGTTTCTCAGACTTTCTTGTCTTTAGCGACCTTGAAAGTTTTGAGGATTGCTCATCATGAATTTTGTAGAATGTCCCTCAATTGGGATTTGTCTGATGTTTTTCTCATGATTAGATGAGGAAGACCACAGAGGTAAAGTGTCATTCTCATCACATTATATCAAGGATACATATTATCAACATGACTTACCGAAGTTGATGTTAACCTTGATCACCTGGTTTGAATTAGTGTTTGTCAGGTTTCTCTGCTGAAAAATTACTCTTTTTCTTTCTCCATTGCATACTGTACTCTTTGGAAGAAAGTCATTATGTGCAGCTCACACTCAAGGAGTGGAGGGGAGGTGGTTATGCTCCCCCCTATGCTTTAAGAGTAGAGAGTATCTACATAAATTATTTAGAATTCTTTTGCATGGGAAATTTGTCTATTCTCCCCCATTTGTTTATTCAATCATTTCTTTATATCAACATGGACTTGTAGATATTTGTTTTATACTTTGAGTTATAATCCAATACTACTTTATTTGTTTTGTTGCTCAAATTATTCCAGCTTTGGCCTTTGGGAACTCTTTCAGTTGGCTCCTGTGTCCTTTTGACATACCCAAATCATTTTTTTATATGTACACTTTCTCAATTTCTGGCACTAAAAAATCCTCCTGGCTCTTCTTGTATATTTCCTTCTCTAGTCGTGGAATCAGCCATTTCTCCAAGGAACCCTGGTTCCTTTTGTTGGAGAATGGTATTAGAAACCAAGATCTGGGTGCTAGGTTTGCTCATTGTATTGGGGTGTCATGGCTTCTAGGCCCTCTCAGCTGATATAGCAAGGAGTTATATGTATGCATACTAACCTGTGCGTATACACGTCTATAAATATTTCCATATGTAACCATCTGTATCTCTGTTAAGCTAAACATGAGTTCATACTACTGTCTCAACTCTAATCCTTTACCACATGGATCATTCTGGGGAAACTTCAAAATAAAGAATCCTAGGTACCACTCCAGAGCTAATAAATCAGGATAAATATTGACCTTACATCTTTTGAAAGGCAATCACATTAACATCATTGAATGTTTTTCTCAGTTTAATATTAGAATAAATATTAAAATTATGAAAACATCATAAGTGTAAGTTTTACTTTATCACTATACACAATTTGGGTAAGTATTTATCTTAGTGAAACTTTGTTACCTGCCTATAGTTTTGCTAATTTTAATTCCACGAGAATATGATCTAATAGAATTTGAAAGTTCTTTTGAATTGTGAATGTCCCATTCAACTCTCAAAGTCTATGATTGAAATCCTAAGTGTAGAAATAAACACTGTGAGAACACAAAGATAATCATGCAAATTGTGTTCATTCATGTTGATAGTATCTGCCTCACTCATTTCCTCTCCTTCTCTTTCTTGTTTTCTTGCATATTTGGTGGGCTGTAGGCTCCAGTTCCAACACCATCTTCTGAGATGATCCTGATTCCCAGAATGCCCTTGGTGCTGCTCCTGCTGCTGCCTATCTTGAGTTCTGCAAAAGCTCAGGTTAATCCAGGTAACACAGCCTTTGCTCAGCCACATGCTAGAAGACTGGATACTCAAGCCCATCAATGTTCACCTTGAGACAGGCCTTGCCAAGGGGTCCAAAGGGTCTTTTTTTTTTTTACTTCTATAGTGAAACATGGCCACAGCAGGAACAGAAACTAATATATTCTCTCTATATAACACATTGAATATTGTGAAAGGGCCTCTGATATAGAGTAGAGTGGAGTAAGAGGGAATTTTAAAAAAATAAGAGGTGGAAGGAGCAACCATTTACTTCTGCATCTTCTGGGAAACGGAAGGAGAGAATTTTTAGATGCTTTGGAGAACTTCTGCAGGTTGGTTTTCCAGTTATTTTTGGCTGGTTTAGGCCTATATTTTACTTGGATGTCATGTTCTGCTTTTGGGACCCTGGTCTTGTGGGATCTCAGGCAGTCTCTTTACTACAGAGTGTGGCCATGCTAAAAAATAGATGTATTAAGAGGAATCTTTTAGTTCCCCCTCAATTTTTTTATTACACGTATATTTTAACTTTGAACTGAAGTCTACTGTTGTATCACTTGTCTATTACCACACTAATACTGTTTAACAACCAATGCAAAGTTGGTGATTTAGTCTGGGCTTGGTTGGGTTATTCTTCTGGTCTCGTCTAGGTTCAGGCACATATCTGGGAGTCAGCTGGTTATTGGCTCGTCTAGGATGGCCTTGGTTCTGACGACTGGGGCAACTTGGCTGTGTTCTTCTCCAGCAGACTAACATGGATATGTTTTAATTGAAATTGCACAGGAGCAAGAGCAGAAACAGAAATGTGCAGCATTTTTCAAGCCAATGCTTGAGTTATGTTTGCTGAGATCTCATTGGCCAAAGCAAGTCATGCAGCCAAGCCCAAAGTCAGAGTGGGAGGGCACAAAAAATTACACGGGGAGGGTCTGATACAGGGGAAGGTGAAGGATTGGAGTCATTTTGCCACAACTATAAAGATAGGAAAGTATACCTAGCGTAAGTGCTCAATTTGATGCATTTTACAAATTGAGCACGTCCATCTAAGCAGTATCCAGATTAAGAAACAGAACTCTACCAGCACTTCAGCACTTACCCTTCTCAGGCTCCCTTCCAGTCACTTCTCTCCACCCTCACCCAAGGGTAATCATTATCCTGCTTTCTAACAACATGGATTAGTTTTGCCTGTTTTTATACTTTATATAAATGGAGTCGATGATGCATAAATACTTTTTTGTCTGGCTTCTTTCATTCAATGTTTTGTTTATAATATTCATCCATATTATTGCATGCAGTTCGTGACGTTTCTTATGGTTGTATAATATTGCTTTGTTTGAATATTTTATTTATCTAGTCTACTGTGGATGAGAATTTGGATCTTCTCCATTTTGGGCCCATTATGATGAATAAAGCTCCCATAATCATTCTTGTAGAGGTCTTTTGGTAGAAGTGTATACTTAACTCTTTTGGGTATATACCTATAAGTGGAATTGCTGGGTTATATACTACATAACATCTGTTTTACTACATACTACCAAAGAGTTTTCCAAAGTGGTTTTACTTATTTACTATTCCACGGTAGTGTATGAGAGCTCCAGTGGCTCCATGCTGTATTTGGATCCCTGCGGGCATTTTCATTTTGTCCTCTTCACATTAGCATGAAGGTACATTTGTGAAAATGCTCACCCTCTTCCCCTCACAAAAATTCCATTTCCATGAGATATTCTTTATACTTTAACAGAAAATATAATCAAAACATCTTAAAATCAAAGATTTATTGGTTTAATGTATCCAGTGCCATATTATTTTCTTGTAATAAGCTTAGTTGGTGCATCTCAGATCTGAACTTGGACACCATTCTTTCATTTTTATGCTCTATATTCCTCTCTCCCAGTTGGAGTTTGGTTACCTTCTATTACATCTAACAAGGCCAGTGTCCTTCTCCGTGCTTTGGTCTCCAAGGAAGAGTCTCTGTGATTGCACAGAATGGTAGGATGTTTTGGTGCTGGGCACACTCACGGAGACTAGTGTGACATGGTGACTAAACCAAAAGAGCCAGTCATCTGTGTTAGAGAACACTTCTGTAGCTCTACAGCAGGAAACAGGCTGTTTGAAGACAGCAAACAGTTATCTTTAAAAATTGTTTCCCCTATTCCTGGTGTCAACTGTTTCTACTGGCTTTTTCTCCCAGAGAAAGTCATGACTTGCAAAGATCTTTATAGGACCCTGGAATATTTGAGGTATGTTGAAGGAATAATCTTTTTCGTTACCATTTCTTCTATTTTACCAAGGTAAGCTGGAGACAAGCAATGGGAAGTTGTCATCAGAGAGTCTGGTCACAAAGCTTGGGGCTCATGGAGTCGTAGGGCTTGCACACTGATGAATATAGAGTACGTATGTAACAAATGCATGTTGATTTAAGGATGACTTTTCAGATGTCCTCTTTGGTGTCTACTCAAAGACTGAAAGCAGCAGAGTAAATTCTGCTACCAGCTGCTAAGCCAGTTAGATTTTCCCCACAGGCTGGCCATATGGTATAAATAGATGGAATGTTGGACTTAAGTCAGGAGAACTGGAATATGAGCAAACATTATATATACAGCCAATTGTTAAAATATTGAAATATATTTTAATAGATTATTGAATATAAACATTGTTTGGAAAACAGTAACTGTGCAAAGCAATAAATTCAATTAACAATACAAAGTCTAAAACAAACATTAATTTAAGCTCATTTTGAATATTTCACCATGACTGCTGGTCAATGAGCCTTCTGGTTTAGCATGACTTATTGATAATAGGGATATCGAATATTTAAAAATATCAATCTAGAAAGATCTGCAGAAGCCAATAGAGTGTAAATAATGTTGATATTTAGAGAAATTCTCTACTATTTGAGACCATAAGTCTCTTACAGGCGTCCCCCCATGAAGGCTGCAGAGTAATGCATGTGTGATATAGGTAGCCTATAAGTCAAGGCGCAATGGCAGTGGGATTCACTGCTCTAAACCACTGGAGCTTTGACAGTGGCAGCAAAGCAAGTAGTGGGGCAGCTGGTGTTAGTGGCATTTCCAGTGATGGCAGTGTTGAAGGTGGCGTTGTCACTGGGGGCTGCAGTGGAACATATGCAGATCCACTAGCCATCTCCCAGCTGCAACAGTGCACCAGGGACTGGGACCTACTGACTGTCAATTCAATGGAGGAAGTCCCTGGAAAAGTTTGAGCCAGTTACCTCCGTCAAAATCATGACTCAGTAGTATCATTTAGCTATTGGCATCTGCGTCAAACAATCATACCAACAATTTCTGAAAAGTATTTCTACAAATCAACAAATGATTTGGATGTTATTAGAACATTCTGATGAATGATTTACAATTGATTTGGAAAATAATATTTAACTCATTTAGAAAATTAGTTTGAGGAACAACCCTAGTTCAAATCCTGGCTTGGTCTTAAATTAGTTGTGTGACATTGGGCAAGTTGTTATATTTCTCTTTGTACTTCCTTAATCCTTTTACCTGTAGTAAGATGAAATTGGATTAGATAATCTATGAGGTTCTTTCCATCACAAACTTACTATAATTTTATGAGTGGGAGCTTTACTGCCCATATTGGAAGATATTGATGGGCTTTAGGCTTGGAAGCAGCGTCCCTGAACTTGCATGGCCTTTCTTTGTAAGAAAGACCATTTGTCCCCAACTCTCTCCCACTTCCCAGGCCCGGGGTCTAAAGTCTGAACTTCAGGAGAATCTTGCCTATGTGGCTAAGCACATAGGAGATAGCTGATATTTTTAAAATTTAAACCCTAAAATGCCCTAGTGACAAGTTGGGTACAGAAACCTGCTTCAGCATAACCTGCAGGAGCTTCATTGTACTAGAAGCCACCCTACTCTAGGGCATCTTTTTCTCTAGAGGTGGGTCCAAGAGGAAGCATTTCAGGCAGGAAATATAACATATGCAATGGCTGGGAGAGAGGGAGCAGTAGAGGTGGGGCTGCGTGGTGGAGGGTGATGAGAGAGGGACGCAAAGCGGGCAGCTTTTCCATCCTTCTGTAGAGTTTGGGTCAAGTTTCCCCTCTTTCCTGACTTGGACTGGGGCTACTGGACTTAATAGGAGAGCTAAGAGTACCTCCATGAGAAAGGGAAGTCTTTAGACTCCACAGTGAAGTACAAGACTACTCTGGGCTATAGTAGTTCTTTGATCAGCCACCAAGGTCAGGCTCTTCCAGAGGGTATACAACCAGTGGTCCAATGGCCAGCAGGGGTCCAGAACCTTATGGATTTCCAGGTAGGAGGATGCGTAGAAGTAACCTGACTATCCTGAAAACCTAGCCCGGAGGTCTGAAGTCCTGAGGACTCATGCAGCCAGCTAGATAACTGCTATGTGTAAAGAGCACAGGGGCAGTTGGCCGCACTCTCCTGACTTGCCCTGTGACAACTGCTTGTGCTTGGAAAAGGGAGAAACACTTCTCCCCCACAGGCAACTCAGGCATTTAGGATCCATGGTACAGAGCCAGGGCAGGGCAGTGCTGGGACTTGCCATTTCCATTTCACATTTTCCCTTCATAGGAAGCAGGCAACTTGCTGGTGGTTCAGAGCCCTGGGATCAGGGAGTCCTCCTTTGGTGTCTAGAATGTTCCCACTTTGAAGGCAGGGACAAAGACATTAAGGGTTTGGGATTCAGAGAGGCGGAGTTCTTTTCTTACAGGCTCCAAATGTGTTTTAGGTTCATCACTGTGGTTTTGTTCTTTCCCCCATCAATCCTACATTCCAGTGACTTCTTAGGATTTAGGCAACTAGAATCCTAGGCTAGTCATATTGCAATGGACCTTAGAGATGTCTAAATCTCTCTTCCTCATTTTACAGATAAAGGGACTGGGTGTCAAAGGGGACAGGTGATTTGTCCATGATCACACATCTGGCTAATGGTAAAGCAGGTTCATTCCACAAGACCACCTGGCCGTTCAGGGAGCCATTTGAGGAGATGACCTTTCCTTAATAATCATGTATAGCT